GTATCGGTATTCTTAAAAAATACTTCCTGTTCTAAAGAGAATTAGTCATTAGTAGATATTGAAGAACATTTAAAATTCTCCACCTTTCTTTAGTTTGCTGTCTATGGGGCCCTGCTAGTTTATATCGTTTCACTGGGTTCTCTTAACTTAGTGACTAATGGAGCAGTGATTTCCCTCGCCACATCAGAGTGGGTGCATCTTCATCCCTGTGGGCCAGTTTAGTGAGGTACATGGTGACCTAGAAAGTTTTGAAACCTGGTGACTACCATGCCTGTCTTTTTCAGTCCTGTTGATTTTCTAAATTTAGCATATCATTTTCTTGATAGGTAGTTAAGTCAGGTGCTTTAATCTCCATTGTAAGGCTATTTCCTGCCATAAGATCTTTTTATATTTAAACCTCTTACTCTGGCAAAACATTCTTATTGAAAATAATTTAAATTATCAGCAAATGTTTCCACTGACATCAGTTTGAAAATGATTGTTTTCTGATTAGTTTTTTTGCTGTGTTTTTAGCAAAGGAGATCACTATTTTCCTTTTTGGGATGAATATTGATGCAGCTTCTAAGATAGGCTTTCGCAAACCATTCTGATTGTGTTAAAGTTATTTATGGTATAAAACTTTTCTGGAAGTAGTTTTTAAACTTTTTTTCTCATTACTTCTTAAATTGCTGAGTTTGCTTAAACAGAAAGTATCACAGTAGTGTTTATAGATAGGCATATTGAGCAATGTCAATTGAAAATCTTTATCCATTGTTTATTAAAGTTTGTAGTATGTTCCAATAATGAGTGAGAGTCACTCAAGTTTGTATTAACTGACATCTACTTAATATTAATGTGCCATGGAGGTGTCTATAATTGAATTGGAAGCACCCTTTTTTGTACTCCCCCAGATCAAGGGAAACTTGAACTTTTACTCCCTTCTGCCAGCCACTGCAAAACAACCCAAATTGACATCAGCATGCCACCGTGAGAGCTGGCATCTTCTATTATCTTGCTCTACCTGTAGCATCAAAGAGCTCCTTGATCAATGGAGTCACTTACGAGGATGTTAAAATATATGTACTTTTAGGAACAAGAATATCAAACATTGGATCTCAAATTTAGTTTTAATTTAATGGAGTTTGATATTTGTGTTTGCACAAGTGTGCTTTGTAACTTACCTCTAACTTCACCTGTGATTGCAATTAGTGGGAGAATCTACATGCTTTCAGGTTGTTTGTTTTTTTATCAGGAAAGTCAGATACCACACTGGCATTGTTGGTCCTCTGTAAGAAAACAGAATGATTCTCTCCTGAGACCAGGCCAGGGGTTGTATTGCAAAGTTTGTGTTGGTGATGGCATAAGTACATGACAGGTTATGAAATCCAATTACTATATTAAATTTCATCACTTGTTTTTTAGGTATTCCAATAACTGTACCACCTCCAGGTAAAACTTTTTTCATGTTTTCTCCATCATTGTTAATAAACATGAAATTTCCAGCTTGTAGTTCCCGGAAGGACAGTGCTGATGCAGTTAGACTATGGAAGTAGGTTATTGGGATTTCAAGGTCCTATTTTCAGCTCTGCCTTTGCTTCATTCCACTTTTGATTAAGACATTTAGTTCTCTTATACCTGTCTTACCCATTTCTGTAGAACTAGATT